TTTCCTCCTAAATTGCGCAGATCAATTTCATCACTTTTTGATTAGGTTAACTTAGTCCAACCCGCTCCTCACTGCTACTGACACTTTCAGCACTCTAAAATGTCAGAAATATATAGGAATTTTTTAGTTGGGGACAACACTTTTTGATACCAAAGGTAATCCTAGCATTTCCTTTAGTTGTCGTTTCCATTTCAACTTCCTGCAATCGAAATTTATTAGCAATATTCGTGCTAGGACCATTTGCATGTGCTTTTATAAGTGCTCGAATTTACAGGACAGAAGCTGCAAAAGGGCGCATGGATCTTTAAGAAATTAGAAATCCTTACCGATTCACACTTCTTAACACATAAGGCCGCATTTTTGAGCTTGGCTTTTCCATGATAGTATTGTCAAACTCACTACTGTCTGCTTGTACAAATATACTGGAATTTACCTAATTTAAAAATGCTTTTTCTCCTGCCTTTTCTCCTCTTCAACTAACCCTTTCCGTCTCATTTCAGCGTGTTTTTGCGCTTTTCCTTTCAGCTTTTTCGTTGGTGCCTTTGCTGGCACCATTTCAACTTTTTTCTTCTTGTCCTTTTTTTGCGTCAAGTAGGCTTGGTATTGCGTATTTACAAACTTCGCATCTATTTTGGTTCCTGAAACAATGGAGAATGGCTCATTTTCATAAGAAACGGCTCAGATCCATAGTGCGCAACTGCGTACCGATGTTTTTACCCAACATTGTAACAGAGCGTCTGGTTAGCGAGTAGGAGGTTTTAAGAATGATTCCTACTTCATCTGAGCGCTATTGTTGCCATACTGATAAGGGAGGCAGTGAGATAACACTTTTCCGTTCTCACAATCAGACCTTCTATTGGGCTAGATGGTGGCCTTAAGCCCCCTACCGAACGAGTGGATGTCAACCTCGCATTTCGTCCGGTTTTGCCAGCTTTACCACTTTTAAAACCCGTCGTTTGCACGGTCGTCACCCCTCCCCCCTCCATTTTTGATTACGTCCCCCCGCCCAGTATGGGCTTTAAGGCCAGTGGCGGTCGCAGATAATTTTGTGTGGAAGGGAGGACGGAATAGCTGAAAAGAGGCGGCGAAGGCGAGCCCAGCCTGTGATCATTTGAAACTTTTTTTTCGAACGAACTCGTCAATCAAAGCCATTTTTCAACTGAAAATTGTATTTCCCAAAAAATTAACAAAGCCGCTTTTGAGAAGCTGGGAAAGAAGG